TACTAATTGCTGCTTTCTGCTGGCACAATGCTCCATTATCCGTTTACAGCTTGGTCTCTGCCGAATTTCCGCACAAAAAGGCACGTAAGAGACGGAACGATCCCGAACCAGCATTACTCTCTAACGGGGTATTGTTTCTGCTAGCGTCTTCTAGCTTTGAGAAGAGGGTTCCTGTTCTTATCGCCTCTACCCTTCATCCAGCTCGAGAGAGTCCCCGGCAAACATTGTAAAAGTTTCGCGTTAAATCGCAGCAATCTCGCTAGTCCACCCGTTTCTTCGACAATGAGATTTTATCATTAGCAGAGATTTTAGCATTAAGATCTCTTCCGCGCGAAAGGCGTTTAAGTAAATGACAACGGTAAGCAAACGCGTGCAATCTTCTCTCACACAATGTATATCGTTTATTATTATGATCATTAATATTGCTCTTATCGCAAAATCTACAATAGCTACTTTCATCGTTCATAACTGGCCTATTAATGATGGACCATCAGCGTCATCGTCGTCGTTTTCTTTTCGCTGCCGTCTCTCTTCCGTTTTTCATATTCATGCTGTGCAAGCTACGCGATTATCATGAATATGTCCTATGAATATTTTGCTTTCTCGTTCGTGTTATGTTTTGAATATGACGGCTCAGCCATTTAACTCTATTTTAATTACGCAAGTTAAGCTTCTCGCTTATGTAAAACAAAAGAATAACGAAATATGCATAATTCTATACGAGATATTCGTAATTTATCGTAAGGTTTTAATAACGTTGAACATTTATGCCCTTGACAAAAGTTTAAGTAAAATTTCTATTAAGCTAATATTTAATTTCGCTTGGAGGATAGAATTTTATTATTTATTTACACGTGTTTAACGCTCAATTTATAAAATTAAATTTAATGTTTAATGACGAATAATTTTATGATTATGAAGTCTTCATCATTAAAAGTCAATCCTTTTAATTTTATACGCGGGCAGAATAAAATATGTGTTCGCGCAAAAAACATGGGTATTTATTTTTACGTTTTAAATAAGTACATAGAGATCACAAAAAAGAGCTAGAGAGAATAGATGGAGATGAAAAAAAAATGTTTTATCGTCATTTAGCTGTTTCCAAAACACGAGACGCGGATATTTATATTTCGGAGCAATATCGCGAGTCGTACGCGAGAGTACATTGAGAAAATAATCTCGAGTTGCTGGCGCGCAAAAGCAGCTCGGCTACAGAGCAAAGGGCTAAAACGGGAAGAGACGCGATGGAGAGAAACGCCGGAGGAGACGGGATTCCGAATCGACGCGGACTATGCGTGGCGCGCGAGATCACAGAGACGGAATCCCGACGTAAACAGGCTTAAATTGTAATTTCGGGCTTTCGGTTCTCTCTCGCGGTGGGATACTTGTTGCTCGTCTACTCTTTGATGTTCGGTCGTGCGGTGCTTGAGAGATCAATATGCGCTCATTAACGAGCGCGGTCGCTCGCGGTGCCAAAGGGACACGCATTCACCGGGAATATCGCGGTAATGTTAACCTTGACAGGTGGCGTATACGATCATCGTCGCAATTATCCGCCCTTCTTTTTACGGCTTGACGCGACGTGTCCATTCGCCACCGCTCAAGAACAAGAGAAATTGTCACCTTCCTTTCGGAATCGCGTTACTTTCAGCCGCGACAAATCCTGTGCTTGTGAATGGATGTTATGTTCATTACGCATTTTGAATAAATTAGCGATTAAACCGACGCGGAATAATACCGCTTATAGCGATAGAATGGGGGAAAAAAAAAAAAAAATACAAATGGATATTTTGCGTGACTGTAACACGTATTTGATAATGGATAAAGTTGACTGCGTAATAACTGAAACTTTCATTGATTTAATTTTATGTTAGATTAATCTTGACATTTGAACACACACATATAATCATAAAAAAATATATTACGATTAAACAACTATTTTGCGGTATATATATCTGTTTGCTGTGTCATTAATTGGATTTATTGAAGCAATTAAACCCGCGTATTCGATTGTATTCGAAATACTCATAATTCAAATCTATGCATCTCCGTAACAAGCACCGATAAAACATAGGAAACGAAGAAAATTTATTTATTTTTAACAATTTTTTGCTAAGTTTTAAATTTGGAAAAATTTAATATAGATAGTTTATTTAGCATTACAAAGGAAAAAGTTTTGTTAAAAATTATTATTTTAAAATAATTATTTAAAAAATGAGTAAACAAAATTTTGTTCAATTAATTTCAACTAAAGTTATAACAAAGTATACGCAGAATATTTAAAAAAGTTTGCTGTTTTTACGACACTAATTTTAGAAATTAAAAAGCCAAAAATATAATTTTTACTTAAATTTGCGCTAAAAAATACAGCGTAAAATTTCATTACACATATATACATTTTCGTGTACATTTTACATTCAAGAAAATAAACAGAAACAAAATTGTATATTATAAGACTTGTCTGACAATGAGTGTTATGAAAATTCATAATCGAAAATAATCCGAATATTTTCGGAAACAATAAATACATTAAAAAGAGACTTTTCGACTGATTTAACTAAAATATAAAAGTGACTTTTGTCACAATATTTATTTAATAAAAATGCAGTAAATAAAATGTTTTGAATGTAAATTGAAACACAAAAATAAGAATAAAACAGGGTTTTCAAATTATTATAAAACATTCTTGAGTGAAAAAAATGCATGAAAAACAATTTACAAAATTGAGAAAAAGTGAAAGTTCTATTTTGTTTATAACGAATGTTACATGTTTTCACCATTCGTGTCCATTCATGCGACAAAGAGAAATTTTTGCTCGTTCTCTCTGAATTACAATTCTCTCCGAGTTTCCGTTCCTATGTAAATCATCGTGTGGTTACTGTTTGGAAAAAAAACATGCCATGCGTTTCGACAACACAAAGCTATGGCTAAAATTTGGAAGTTTATATATAAAAGATATAGCATAGTATATACTAGTGTAGCTGACAATTGAATACCTTTTTGCCCTAAATTTTCACCAATTTAGGAATTTTAGGAATTGTGTGCCGTCGTTCAAATATTGTGAGAGAGGCGGTGATAATACATCAAACAAATAAATTTATTCCTCCTTTTTAATTTCGAACGAGGGGGGCCTTTAATACAAAAGTACGTATCGTGCGGCTGTCAGCGACAGACGACGATAAATTTGCGGGAGAGAATCGCGTGCGATTCGCGCGCGAGTTTGCGGTTTATCCCATATATACGCGGCTAGCTACCGCGATGATTTATCGCGTGCAGCAAGATCGCGTGCGTCGTCGCACGAATTGTATACGCCAAATCAAGCGCATCGTAGTCGGCTGTCCAGGAAGTCGACCGGTGACGTTGAGCTTACGCTCGAAATAGCTTCTCATCTAATGAGATTCAATCAACGTCGTAATTAATGATGTTACTTGCGTGAATATTTATAACATGTCTGCATACTATTGCATAGAAACAATAATCAAATTCAATCTAATTATTCATTACAATCAAAATTTTATAACCGTGTGCAATAACTATAATATCGAATAAATTAATTTAAATGAAATTTAAATTATAATTTATCTTGCAAAAGTGTAATCAAATTTATATCGTCTTTCGTAGTTATTTATGGAATTAACGAATTAGGGTTCACATTACGCATTTAGATGTGGCTTCTGAATTTTATACGTCTAATGGAGACGTCGAAAAAAATGTGATTGCATTGAATGCATATAAATATCGGTTCTAGGAAGATTCCTTGAATTATTTCGGTTGACATCTTTGTATATCGTGACAAAATTGATGAGCGATATAATCCTTCATAAAAGCGTTATTATTGTCATTCGCTGATCTATCATATGTCGGGCTTTTGCGACTAACAAAGAAGGCGCCGTATACTTTGACGCGCATAAGCGTTCCCGTCACGCGCGAAGAGGATTAAAAATATCAAAGCGAGCTCGCAGTAGCAGCAAATCGTCGTGCGCGAGGGGACAAAAGCGCACGGAAGCGCAGAGGGTGAAGGAGGATTTCCGAGGGCGGCGGCCGCTGAGGTCAAATAACCTCCGGAGAATCCGCGACCGGTACCCGGGAGTTGCGAGGCGGGTGTTCAAAGGCTTTCGTTAAATCGTACTTAAAAGTTAAAGGCCACGGCTACATGCGAGATATTTAATCACATAGAAAGATGCCGGTGAGGGAGAAGAAGGGAAACCTGAAGGGACGTGGTGTGAAACGGACGGTGGATATATATTCGTGAAAGCAGAATCTCCAGATGATCAAAGAGCGTTAAAAGAGGATTGGGTTGCCTCGGCGCTACTCGTCTTACGAGGCATCCGTGGAAGCGCGCGTGTGTATGTTAAGGAGGAATTAACGCAAAGGACATTCGCCCCTCGTTGTTATAATGACGCATTGACGTGTTTTCTTCTTATTCGCACCGCAAATATATGAGATCTTCTAATTTATTTATTTATTTTTTTTTTGACGAGAAATCTGATCTTATAAAATGTTATTCATATTATGTTGATCCTTAGCTCCTTTTTTACGTAAGAAAATTTTACATAACAGAAGTGTCTGTGATCATTTTCATTGTCGTTAAATTAGAACATAGTTCTATATTTTAGAATAAAAAAACCTAATATAATAAATATGTAAAATAATGTAATAACGTGTTTTTTTACAAATTTATATTTTTTTATTTTTATTTTACAATATAGAATTATACTCTAATTTAATGACAATTAAAATAATCAATTATATATTCTTATATATGCATATACTTATAATATTAATATTTTATTACATGTATTTTATACATGTGCAAATATTAATTTATAAGATTGCATGGAACATTTTTGCAAATTTATGTGAATACAATATTTTTTGAAAATGAGACATGTGTCTTAACGCAACAATTCACCATTGCTCCAAAAGTTAGATAGCGAATTTGTGATAAAATTATGAAAGATATATTGCTTAGGTGAATTTAAAAAAAAAAATTGACTCACCTGCAAGTCCTTCATCTTGATCCACCCTCCAATAACAATAATGCAATCGCTGCTCACGCGAGAAATCTTGGTGCCTTTATTCACATGCAACTATCGCAGTCCATGTCGATCACTTTCAATCCATGCGCGTGTACCAACGTGGATTTCTCCTCACGCGGATCATCCTAGTCTTGTCATAGAGAATCACCGAGCAGCACCGTGTCTTTCCGTTGATCCATTCATATCATCTACGGTGGTATCAAGTTGACGGAAGGCTGCAACTTCTTCGATTGAATATGCCGCACGATGACGATGCAATGACAATTCAAAAACGTTGAAGATGGGGTTGAAGAGATATATCTGGTGAGAGAAAGAGAGTCACGTGGTGTGCATCTGCGGTACGCGCCAACTCTCTTCCTGAGCGTCCCGCTTGACGGTTCGGAGCACACTGCCGTCACTTTCTGCTTCAGCCGCTTTTCCTTTTCTTCTTGCCTCCTTCTTTGCTCCTTTCGCCGATGCACCCTTCTTCTTCCGAAGGCACGAGGGACCGAGTACGCGCACGTGCCAGGCACGATCGACGAACTAACAGCGACTGACACCTCCTCTTCTTCTCGCCCGATGTTACTTCCTTTTTCTCTACTTCTTTCACCCCTTACTTGCTTTCGAATTTTTAGACGGTTCTCTTCGAAGAATTCCCGATTCTTATGCAAAATCAAACATCGTATTTTGAAATTTTATACAGTGCTCATAAATCGGAGCAATTTTGGAGCAACTGTCTCGGTAAGAGATTTAATTGCAATCGGAATAATTTGATTAATCAAGAGGGAAAGAGGGCTTTTGGCACAAATTCACGTGATCTTCCTATAGGAGAAATCGCTGTGAACTGTTCGATGCTCCTTGCACCGGCGGAGTCGGGGACCGACTGACAATCGGCCCAGCTCAAACTGCGCGAAGTAAGCAGCAAGAGCACAACAGCAGAGGGGTAGGGGAGAACGAGAAGGAGAGAATTTCAGAGGGAAAGAGCAAGAGAGAGAAAGCGATGAGGTTGAGCGGACTGGAGGACGGTGGAGAGGAGCGGATTCTCACCACCACGTGTAGGGTTGTTTTGGCTGCGACGCGGTCGCGCAATCATTACGGTCGCTTCGGTATCGATTTCGACAAATATTTTCTTCGCACCGCGCTTTTGTTCTATTTCTTTATTATATTTTACTTATTGTTTATAATTGTTACATTTCTGAATTAAATTTTATCGATTAGATGATGTCAAATATTTCGATTTCGATTAAAAGTCTATGGAAAGATGAATATGGAGAAATGATTGATGTATCAAAATAAATTGTTTGATATACTTTTCCAAGTTTTTTTTTCATTTTCATATGTGTTTGGTATATTTGAAAATAAAAGGAAATTATTAATTTAAAAAATATGATTTGCTTTTTTGCGTTTATTTTACCTAACAATATTTGAATTTAATAAACTAATTTTTATAATCGATATAGATAAATGAGATGATTACTGCAACAGAGTAAAATGTGCCGCATCGCAATTTCAATTAATAAAATTATTGATTTATGATTGTATTTATATGCGTTCTTTAATTAATATAGGAACGCTAATTATATGACAATAACGCAAACACATAGTACATCGCAAGAGATATCGAAATATATTCCAATTGACAAAAAGTTAATAATCATGTTACAATCATTTAAAAGTGATAATAATTATATCAAATGTATCAATTAAACATGAATGATAATAATCGATTAATTTTGTAATTCGATTTTTAGAATTATTTCCTGCATTGTTCCCTTTTTCTATAAAAGGGATATAATATATTATATGTTATGAACATGCCAGTATATTCATAACATCAGAAATATGTGTAATTTTAATACCATTGTTATATATAAGGAAGACCGATAAATGTCTCACAAATGAATCTATCCGATTTATTCTGCACTTCTATTAATATAATTGCATTTAAATATTTGACTTTTGATTAATAGCTAATTCGTTTGAAATAATTGCGTTTGTACGGTCAGTAATAAGTCCGATGATATTATCGCATCCCATTTTCCGCGCATGCATTTTGCGTAGAGCCTTGAATTAATTTGTTATTCATTCATCGCCGCCAGAGAAGTTATTATCCGCGATATTGTTGACATCGTAATATCGCACAATATTTGCATGCAATATTACATAGCGGTGGAAAATCGACGAGGTGTATTGTTAGAGCCATTTTTTTTCGCGTAATTGCGGTTTAAACGTTTTTACGGTTTATTTTATCATCGTATTGAACGCATCGGATGTTCAATTAACAAATGGTGCCGCTGTTTCTATTGAGCATATCCATGTTTATCGATTTTTTTCATCCGTTTCTCTTGCTAATTGAAACTTAAATTTGCAATTTTACTCAGCAAACACCACAACTCATATAACGTACGAATATTGCATAAACAATGCGCTTATTTATTTATGCAATAAAAAAGACACGAATTCTGCATGATATTTAATCAAATGTACTCTAGTTTATTAAGGAAAAGAGATTATTAATGCATCAATCATTCACATATTATAATTTTTGCACGAAGTAAATATTTTGAAAATAGCGTGGTCAAATTTGTCCTAATTTCTAACTCTTTAAACTTCTTTAATTTTACAACAACATGCATCCTCAGTTCCTAATAAATATTTTCGAATATAAAAATATGTTAATTTATATACAAATTATGATAAGTGATAAATGATAGATCATAAATAAAATTCTGGATTGAAATTCATCCGATTGCAGCCTTCTGATTTCCCTGATATTTACATCCTCTGGTCTGAATTAATTACGTTCTTATCTTGCTACAATTACTTTCCCATGCGTCGCAGCAATTAACTGCGCGTCTAATGTGCGCAATTCGCTGCGAGCGGCGCGTCGCTTTTTTAACGAACGTTATGGTTGACCGCCGTAAATAACTATGGTATGGTGTACTACGACGCTGTCTCTTCGTCGTTGTTTGTCCCGAACATCGTCGACGAAAGATCAAAGCTCAAAGTATTCGAAATCGCCGACAAAGGCAGCCGACGACAGTAGGCGTACTTTTCGTGAACCTGTACCTGTAATTTTTCTTTTTCTCTGCCTTCGATGAGAGGAGGGTTAACGATTGATCTGCTATTAGGTCACGGTGGACACTTCTCACTCAAAAAAAAAAAAAAAAAAAAATGGCAGTAGTCAGGAAATCCCTGACACGTTTACAATAGCCGTCCCTTGTTCCTGTCCGATTCCCTGGCTTCTCGTCGCCACTGTAATCGGTCGGCATTAATCTTAAGGATAGGGTAGGTGGGAGGTACCGACCTTCGTCGAGGTCGCGGCTCGTTCATGGAGTTAATGCAAATTGCGCGCGGGAATCTTACGACTAGTAATGAGGAGGCTCCCTTGATCGTCGGTTATTTAGCAATGGGGCAATTTGCAAGCCGCGTTATTAGAAAGCGGTAGACTCATGCAAAAGGGATATCTCTCCTCTACGCAGTCGCGGGATCAGAAGTATGGCTGGCAATAGCTGACCTTTAAGCGCATTCTATTGCAGAATTGCACTTAAAGGTGCAAGATCCATTTCCGTCTCTTACTTTTCCCTTCTAAACAATTGACCAATTATTTTCAAATTTATTCAAATCATTAATATAGTATAGTTATGTATCTAGTGGTGTAAATATCTAATTATATTTTTGTGTAAAAAATATTTCGACGTTAATATATAATAATTAGGAAATATATTTTGATTAAATAAGATCTTATAGTATATAATACATATTATATTTTTTATGATGTTTTAATTATCTATATTATCTACTTTATGATCTATTATCAAATAAATTGAAAGTCAGTAGGTATACATGCAATAACTTAAATAATAATTTTAACATAAATTTGAATAAATAATAATTTTGTAATCTCTAAATAATATATATATTTGATTAGATGTTCGATATTTAAAATAATCTAATAAGTTGTAGACTATCGGTAAATTCTTATTTCTACAAGCTGCTTATCGCGATAGAAGAGGATTTAACAGGGACAAAAGAGTTCATTCATTCAGAAAATTGAAGTTTCGAGCCTCGCGCGACTTACTCGTTCGGTCTTCGTTTTTCGCTCGGTGATTCCAAATTGGGAATAAATGAATGATAATACCGAGCACCAGAATATACTGTACGTGCGACTATGAGAGGTGTTCTTGTACAACTTGTTATTGTTATCACTACGTCGTTAATGCTCGCGCAAAAAGAGCTCGTATACCTTGCCAGCACGTTAATGACATGTAACGAGATAAGGTATATATGCGTACTATGAAAGCCGGTAGTCTATCGCGACGGGGTGTTCGTCGAGTAGCGCGCGTATTCATTGTTAGATACTTACGAGCGAGCAAGGAGAAGAAGAGAAGAGTTGCGCGCGAGGGAGAGAAGAAGGTAGAAGAGCGTGAAAAAGTCCACTCTCGAAAAACGGGTTTGCGGTGCCGCGGGTGCTGCCGGGTGCGTTGTAGTTTATCGTCAGAATCGTGTAGCACGTTACGGTACACCGCGATCATTAGCAGCTAGAAACCGCCTGCTCTGCCATGCCGCCGGGAAGGCTGTACGATATACTCCTTTGATATTCGTCGTGCTGACTCTTTACACTGCGATTCACGGATCCTTCGCGAGCTCATGATTCCAACACAGAGAAAATAGAAGGAAAAGTTATCTTTTTCTGAATAATACCTTTGCTACAGGAGACAAAATAGAATGAAGAGGAAAAAATAGAATAAAAATTCGTCTTTTTCTGAATAATTTCTTTGCGCGACAGGATAGAAATATAATGACGTAGTAGTATAGTAAAAACAGACACTATGAAATCACAATTTATATAGCGTGAAAAATTGTAATTACATTCTACGAAAATAAAAAGTTTTCTGAAAATGGAGAGCAGAGAGTGTAATATAAAACAGAACATATATGACATAGAATTTCAACAGAGATAGAGTATGAAATAGAGTAAAAATTCATTGTTTCTCAAAATATTTGGATAGGGATAGGTTCAACGTAAATGGACCAATGTATAAGTAATAAAGATGAACATTATAAAATAATAATTCATAACATGAAAAGGTTTCTAAAAATGAACCAAAGTGCAATATAAAAGAGGAAAAAAAGGAGTAATAGAAAAATGAAACATTATTTTTATAAAAATTAAATATTGCAGACTAATAATCAAAATCATAATTTATTTTATCAGACATTATATAATGAAATTGTTATTGACCTTTATAGCATTATATATAAGATACAAGCAGCATTATTAAATTTTGTTTTTGTTCTTCAAACTCTTTGAAAGTATATCAGCCTGTTATTGAAACTTATTTTAAACTATTGATTAACTATCCTATTTTTTGTTGGCTCTTATGTTCTTTCAAGTTTATAATATTTTATAGAGAGTTTCTCGTAAAACTTTGAAAACACTATTCTCTTGAATGCGCTAAACAAATGATTTCTCCTCCCTCTTTCGCGTTTCAGCATCTGGCGCCGTACTGTTTCCCACTTACATTAGAATTTCAGTGGAATTTCGAGCGTGGCTTAACATGGTATCTCCCGACTGACCGAATCTGAATTTCAGTTTTATCCAAATTTGGCTTTCGCTCGGGCACGACACCCGGCGACGACAGTATTTGCGTACCGCAAGCCGCGCATAAATAAATAAATGAATATGAGAGCGTAATGGTCGATAAGTAAATTTGCGTAGAGGCTTCGCGTTATATGGTAGATACATCCCGCGAGCGAATATCGAGCGCGCGTTTCTATTTCTCGTCGTATCATTGAATGTCGAGAAGATCGAGAATAAAACGCGATATCTAGAAAGGCGGCGATCAAAGCGATCAACATGA